AGCCTTCATTTTCTTTCTCCAATGCAACAATGACTCTGAAATTTAGCAGTTTTCATATAATTGCTATGTCCCCTGATCCTCTCAACTGCTTGAGATATTACACATGCATGTATATTCCTGTCCAATAGCATCATTGGTGAAAATTTTAAAACTATACTGCCATAGCATGACAGAAAGCACCTACCATCGGTATTTTACCTCCTACAAATGAGAGAATCCATATTGCCTGCTCCAAAGCGCCCCTTTTTGGTGTCTATTTCCTAAGACCATTTCTGGTTCCTCTTGACCTAGGTAAGGTTCTGGGAAGAAATTATTATGAGGTAGGGATTTGATGAAGGCAATTTAAAGGGGTATCACAAAAGAAAAATATTTGTAAGGCAGTGATAGAAGGATAAATGGAACTACAAACAGTCACGACAAATACCTCTGCTCATCCCATAAGGAACTCTGTAACTAGAATAGCCTTTTGCAGGTGTCTCAGACTGAAGCAGGAGGCCTGGTCTTAGGAAGGGCAGTTTCCTTAGACAAGGACTATTCCCTAGAAACTGGAGAAATGAATGCCTCTCACCTGAAAAAGGTGTGACAGGTAGAGGATGGTTTGGGTCAGCACAATACAGCATCCAATACAACATATTTAATTTAGATCTCCATTGGCTCTTTTACCTATTACTTCTATCAATCTTTTATATAATTAAAAATTGTATTCACTTTGCTCTTATCTTCCTTACCATTTTTATCAGTGTTTCTCCTACCTTCCAAGTCTTTCATTTATGGATTTTTTTTTGTAATTGTTTCCTTCCATCAGTTTTTGTTTCACACCCTTCAGTTGACTGTTTCTGGATTATTTTTCTGATTCATTCTGTTTCAAAGGTTTAAATGTTTTCTTCCATTTAGCCCACTTAAAAAATTACTAGGTCAGATGTTCCAACTGCTTTTTGTCTGCATTTTCTGGTGTTCACATTTAACAGGTCTTGAAGTCTAATATGTTACTCTCATGTTTATATATTTATTTTGGTGCCATAATGCTTTCTGAGATCTGCTTTCTCTAGATTCTTCTCCTACCCTCTAACATATGAATTTTACATTTTTCCTTACAATCTTTCTGCTCTGTTCAATTTGATTTCAGAAACTGGAAGTTTCCTTTTTTCACATGGATTTACCCTGGAGGAAAATGTATGCTGAATGGTTCTGAGATCCTCAAGGAGTTAGTTCACCACAGTTCTCTTTTGATGATCCTGTGCAGTTTTCTTCACTTACCTGTAATTCAGAAACTGTAATGACTTCTAATGTTTTAGTTGCTCTCAAACATATTTTCCTCTTTTGGTCATATAATTAAGAGGGATTGTTTGGTTTAATGCAAAGAAGAGATGCTCAAAAATGTTTGTTTTTGCTTGAGCAACTGAATGAAGATTTTTACATAAATGGGTAAACTAGAAAATGAATGATTAATAATGACAGAGGCAGGCACTCTATTTTGGCTATATTAAGTTTGAGGTGCCTTCTAGCTACATGGATATATTAAAGAGATACAACTTTGAACTGGGAAGTTTATTTAGAACAGTTTCCTTTGTGAAGCCTTTCCTGAATGCCATCTTCCCCTTCATCATCATTCCTGTTGTAGCCTTTATCCAATTCATATCACAATTACCTATTTATTGGTCCATTTCCTCTTGTGGACTGTGTGGGCTTTTTGCGAAACAGGACATATGTTCATTTCTTCCTCAGGTCCCTTTCTGGCACAATACTGATAGTCAGCTATTATTTTCTCAATGCATGTATATAACAGGACAGCCAATTATATATTTTTTTCTAAAACTCCCATTTTTGAAAAATATTTTTCAAATTAAGCCTATGTTTGCTCATTTCTACTATCCGTTCAGGGCACATCTCTGAAGTTAGGTACTATTAGTTTACTTGTTCTGAATACTGTCTTTAACATATTTGCCTCAGATCATATGTGAATTTATGTCTAGATATTGGTCTTTCAAACCAAACATGTAATACATCCCCAAACATTGCTTTCATATGTAATATATTAAATTATTTTTCCTCAAATAAGTCTTTATATTGTCTTCCATACCCCGTGCAGGATTTTTAAAAAACTTTTACTACTAAATTTAATCTTAACAGAGTCAGCAGTCAACTCCAGAAGTGGAGATCACTTTATATCTTCTCTCTCTGTGTTGGTGTATCTTGACTTAGATATATTCTTACCTCCAGATGCTTAGAGGCAGAAGATGGGAGCAGAGCAAATATGCAAAACTTGGGTTCCAAGTGCTTGTCACCAGCTTCAACCATAAAATTAAATTTTCTGGTTAACAAATAATTTACTTTTGCCAAAAAAGTTTATCCTAAAATCTTTGAAAACCACTTTTCTTGGGCAAGCCTAAGTTACTGCCTTAAGATTGTAATCAAAACCACACCCTATTTGCTCCAATAGCCACACTACCCAATTTAAATGTTTTTTTTTTTTAATTTACATGATTCATCTTCTATAAAGTTATGTATGGCTAATTTTAATGGAACATTGTATCTATACATTTTGAGAATAATACAGTAATTTGGTATCTTAGTGAATATTCTTGATATATAATGTTGAATTCCCCCAACAGATTTAAACAGAAAAAGACTTCTGCATAAGAATTTATCAACTGTAAAAGTGTTAATGATTCAATTGATCTTATCTTGCATTTTCTGTACGGAAAAAAAACTTTGTACTTTTGTATTTGTGTGTGTGTGCTCAGAAAAAAAAATGCCAATTTTGTGGCTGACAATTTAGTCTACTTGTTCTATCTTGGCTCTTCTTCCTCTCCTTTCACTAGTATACCAAATATGGTTTAAAAGGGGGGATGATACTATAGCATAAAATAATCTTATATTAACAGTCTCATGAAAGAAAAAAATGATTTGGGGACCATCTAACTTTTGGGGACTATTTATTTAACTAGGTATAAGCCCAACCAATAATATCATGCTTTAGCACATATCTACCATTTTATTTAAATTTCAAATATAAAAACCAACTATGAAATGGCTTGCCTAAATGCAGATATATCACCATTAAAATTTACTTACTTGTTGAATAGGTTTAGCACGTGAAGGGACTACTATAGCCTATTTTTCCTATTCCTGGTGACTCCATGTTGGATTCTGATGGCATTCTCAAGATCACGCTGCAACTTGATGGTACAACTGGAATCCAACCCTGGGATTTGGATTCCCAGGCCATTATACTTTCTATTATACCACAGTGATGCTCAAATGCTTACAGGAGTTGCTGATGATAAAAAAAAAGGAGCACCAGAATAAAAAATCATCAAAATCAAACAATTTAAAGGTAATAAACCCTCATGGGCCCCTATCACTTAAAATTTTTCCTTCTTCAGTTTCAAGTATTTAGCTGGTCATATTTTTCTAAGATAATACTAAGCTCAAGATAAAGTACCAGCTTCTACTAGACAAGCTGTAAAAGCAATGAAATTATTATAGCTTTATAGTGTGATCTTCCCAGAAGTATTAAGTGCAAACTATTTAGTTACTGCCCTTTCACTCCAAGACCAATCATCTATGGATGGAAAATGATCATTTAAATAAAACAATGTATAGAAATCAGAACACTTTAATATAAACACTTCCAGAATATAGAGTGATTTTTGTATCAGCACTTTGAGAACTTTTTTTAAAAGTATATATCTTCTAAGTTTGTTATAGACTATTTAATTTTTCACTTTCAGAACTAGAAAATACAAAAATACACTGCAAATTAGATTTAACAAAGAAAAAAATCAGTGTAAATTGTTTCATACATTTTCTTTTGAGAAAACTAAGAAACATAAACAAACACATCGATAATAAAATACCACCAACACTAACACAAACCCCAAAAGGAATGGATTCAGCAATGCCTTGACTCCCACAGGGCTGACCATGCTTAGTTTCCAAGAACAAATAGGATCAGGTGAGTTCAGGGTGGTATGGCTGTACACTGCAACTCTTGATAATTCTCTCATTAAAAAATAAATTATCTCTCATGGGTAAAAAAATCCACTATCACAGCAATCTGATGGACAAAGTAGAAACAACCCCATTTAGGGAAATTACATTTTATGCAAGATACATTTAATAATCTTTCTTTCTTTTTTTCTTCTTTTTTAAAAAATTGAGGAAAAGTAATTTGAGGAAAAGGCATAGTGAATACTTTCAGTTCACTTGGCTTTTATAGAGATTACATTAACTGTCCATGTGAAAAATCAAATAATTATTTAATAAATCCAAACTTTTCAACCTATTTCTTCAACCCTAAGGGAATAAAACTAGGAAGTTTTGAAATTAGAGGATAGACTCATCCTAAAGCACTGACTCTTCTGTCTTCTTTTATAAGTTTCCTTTTCTCTTATGTTCTTCTTGTGTTCTTATGTTCTTGTTTCTCAGAGGTTAGGTTTGGGTTTTTTGGTTCTTTTTTCAATTAAATTTCAAGTTTTACAAAAAGAAAGAAAAGGAAGGAAGGAAGGAAGGAAGGAAGGAAGGAAGGAAGGAAGGAAGGAAGGAAGGAAGGAAGGAA